ACTCACCAATCACAGTAGGCTCCAGGTCCACAAAGATGGCCCGTGGGACATGCTTCCCAGCCCCGGTCTCACAGAAGAAGGTGGTGAAGGAGTCATCCCCTCCGCCAATGGTTTTGTCACTGGGCATCTGCCCATCGGGCTGGATGCCGTGCTCCAGGCAGTACAGCTCCCAGCAGGTGTTGCCCATCTGGACGCCGGCCTGGCCGACGTGGACGGAGATGCACTCGCGCTGGGGAGGGGGAGGCAGGGTCACATCCCAGCAGAGACCAGAAATGCAATCACTGCAGGTGCTGCACAGCTCAGACAGGGCAGCCTGGGCCCTTGTCATCTTGGGCAAGCCACACTGCTCTGGTGCCTGGGTGTCCTGTGTCCATCCCAATCAACTATGGTCTCCCAGATCTGGTGCTCTGCCTCTCATCACTGCACTGACCACCTCACTGCCCCAAGGAGATGGAGACCCATCTGCTGGAGCCCAGGATACCAGGCCACCGATTCCCTGGACTGCCCCCATCCACAGCCCTGGGAAGCATCCTGTGAGCATCTTCTCCATTGTGCAAACACCCACAAGGCTTAAGGTCTGCGGCCCTGCATCAGCTGGCACAGCCTCTGTTGCTATTCCAACAACAGGGCTGGAGGCTGAGATGGCAGAGCACCACCCAGGCGCTGGGAGCTGAGGAGGTGACGGCACTGAGGATGGGTGCCCAGCAAGGGTGGGGATTTGCAGTCATGAATGGTTGCCATGTTCTGAGGCTCAGCTTCCCTAAACTAGCTCCGGAGGAGGAGGAAGCATTAGCTGCACTTCTTAACTGAACCAAAGGCTGAGCAGGGAGAGTCACCCAGATTACAACTTTGAGGCCAGTCTCAGGTTCCTCGGGAGAACACAGGCTGAGGAAGGGAGGAGGGCCCTGCAGCCTCACTCCCTTCAGGTGAGGCACCCCAGAGCCTGCAGTCCTTTGAACAAGAACCAAAATATTCAGTGCCTTAGACCTGCTGTTGCCAAGGATTTGGATGCGTCATCAGGCACAACTGAGGCAGAGAAGCATCGAAATCAAACCGGATTTCCAGAGCCATGAGTGCCCCAGTGTGAGTCAGCTCGCAGGAAGCCGGTGGAACCAGCCATTTTGCACTCAGGAGCAGGGCAGTGACTGGCATCCGAGGAAGTTATACAGGATGCAGCAAGTCCTGGCTCTCTGCATCTAGAGTGCTTTCAGTGCTGTCACTGCATTTCAGAGGCAGCAGTGACAGCAAGGAATGACAGAAAAATAAGCCCTTGATACCCATGGTGAGAGACAGAAGCCCATCTTCCCACCTTTCCCAAAGCTGAGGTGCAAGGACCAGCAAAGCAATACCCTGCTTATCCCTCCCAGCAGGTCCATAAAGGTTGTGTAACACAAGGAGCCAAGGGTAAGTCCTGAGGACTTAAGTCCCGAGGTAAGTCCTCCAGGATCCTCTACAGAAGGACACAGAAAACACTTGGCACAGCTGCAAACACCTCAAGAAAGAAGAGATGAGAAAGGACTCCTTCATGGCCAAGGACCTTGCAAATCAGTGTGGGGGTGCAGAGGGTTATGCTGCTCACTGCACTTCATCCCACCAACATGCAGCAGCCAGGACTGGCTCTGTGGGACCCAGCACTGACAGCAGGCTGGTCAGAGCCCAGCAGCACCAGCAAGAAGCAGTGCTGGTCACCAGCCAGCAGAGTGCCTTCTTCACGGCAAGGTCTGGCACAGGAAGGGCTGGGAGCATGGGCCCGCAGGACAGCAGGCAGGGTGCCTAGGGAACCTTGGGGCCGAGATACTCTCCAGGGCACATGGAGAGCTCAGGAGACAAGAGCCCGCCGTAGGACCACGGCAGCAGGGCAGCCCGGAAGCCCACCCACAGTGATGCCCACCCTTGGAGCAGGGCAGTGGGTGGAGGAAGCCACAGCTTCCTGCCACGGCTCAGCTGTGGGTCGGCAGCGTGGGGGGCTGGCTCTGCGCAGCCGGGGATGGTACCGCGGGACACAGGCAGGAATCGACACTACCAAAAGTCGGAAAGAGTGGTGAGAGAGTCTGCCCGAGCGCCGGTCTCCAAAGACGGCGGGGCTCGTAGGGGACCTCCTTGCCACGGGTACAAGGGGATGCTCAAAGGAGGGAGGCTGCTGAGAGCCGGAGAGGGAGCAGCTCTGAAAGTGGCTGAAGCCAGGGAAAGGCAGGGCAAGCAGGCGGGCACTCCTGCCGGCAAGCTGCCCGCACCTCTGGGCTCCCGGCAGAGCCCTCCTGGGAAGCCACGGGGACCGCAGCCCGCTCCGAGGACGGTCCCGACGGAGTTCCCCCGCTCCTGGGAGCACTCATGGGACTAGAGGGAAGGAGCTGCGGGAGCCGGCACTCACCATGATGCCGCCGCTGCTGCACGACCTGCCAGTCCCCGGGCTGCCGCAGCTCCGCGCCCCGGGACGGCGGCGCTGCCGCCGCCTTATACCGGGGGCGGCACCGGCGCTCCGGGGCGGGCCGCCCCGCCCGAAACAGCCCCACACGCTTGCATAGATTTGCGAGCATTGCTCATATTTGCATAGATTTGCATAGATAGGGCTGTGCTGCCCGATAGCCGGCGGGGTGCATGGGTTGGGCCATAAGTGTTGGCCTTGCTACGCTTGCTGGTCTTGGCAGAGGGGCTTCTGTTAAAGAGCAGAGATGGCACCTTCCACCTTAGTGCTCTACTGGTCACTATCCAGGCACTAACCCAGAGAGGCTCTGGGGGCTGAGGCAGGAAAACCAAGAAAGAACCTGGCCCAGGTCTTCCCTCCTGGTGGGTGTAAGTGCTGATGTGATCCCTGGACAAGCACAGAGCTAGGTCTCTGCCAGTCACCCAAAGCCTCCAAAAAACATCTGGGGGAATTTCTAGAGGAAACATGGGCAGAGGAAACTCTTTAAAGATGAGAACAAGCTTTCCTGACCTCTTTGGAGATCAGTGGGAAACAAAAGCAAGAGAATTCTGTCCTGTCCTTTGCATCAAGGACTGTTGTACCCCAGGGCTGTGTCTGAAAGCCTTGCCTGCTGAAGGACTTCTTCTCCAGCCTGGTTCTCCACTGCCTCCACAGTTTTGATATGATTTCACAAAGCTTTATGAAAGGAATGGTGAGAGGATGGGGAGAACATGAAGGACTTCGGACAGGGTTTATTGGAGTCTGCAGTGACTTCACTGATGTCTGGCTTTACTACAGTGAATAACATGTCCTACACCCTCCAAAATGCTCGCAGCATCCACTGTGGTGCAGAACCGGTCCTGCCTCTGCCTGAGCGCTGTGATTTAATGAGTTTTCACTGAAAGTTGCTGTCATCTCTCAGCTTGATCTGAAAGTTGAAAGCTGGACCTAAATTATCCACCCACAATGGCCTTTCTTTGTGCCTGAGTCACCTGAAGAGTGTCACCTTCACTGATGTGCATGTGTAAAGTGACTGAAAGCAAGAGTACTGCTGAGAAGCCTGTGCCGGTGTCTAAGCAACGCATTTTTTGAGACCTGCAGAAATGGCTGAGCCAAAGGATCAGAATGGGTTTAATCAAGCTGGTGGGAAAATGTCGAGGTTTTTTTCTACAGACGTCACCCAGGTTGTGAGTGCTGCTGAACATGCACAGGATGCTGTGGTGACTAGATAACTCTGGAAATGCCTCCCCCGGTATAAATGTCCTTTGAGTGACCTCAGAGATCACTAGATAACACAGGCCATGCTGATGCAGACAGTCCATGAGAGTGAGAGAGTAATTGGTAGCACTGAGGCATCAAAATTTGAACCCAGAAGTTAATTGGAGTGAAAAGGAGCAATGGTATCATCTTTCTCTGTGAAAATCTTTGCCAAGGTGTTCATTGAAATGCATGGTGGATGTCAAGGCATCACTTCTGACTGGGTGTGTCCTAGCACCCTTCTTAATTCCACGGTGCCAATTAATTCTGGGGCATTTTTAACACAATGCTTTGCAGTAGTGGTTGGAAGCACAAGTGTTGAGCTAAGCAGCAAGCAGTATCTCAGGTGGCCACACAGCTTGCAGCCACAGTTTGTGCGTGAAGGCTTGCACACTTTACCCAAATTCTGAACATTTGTATGACAATCTGGGGCACCTAGGGGTGTAAAATGATGTTATACTTCTCCAAGAAATGCCTGGAACTGTTTACATACCATTCTGGTAGAGAGCTGAGGGTGAAATATCCCTGATTTGTCGTTGCTGCAAATGCATGTTCAACAGTGAAAATACCCACTCAGATGCTGTTTTGTTGGACGATCAGAGCAGCACCGAATGACAAGAGAGCCATGAGTCATTTGGAGCTGTGCATCCCCATGTGCCTCTGATCTGAAATGTCCAAACAGATGTCTAAGCTTTTTTTAAATGCTTAAGAACATCTGGCTAAATCCAGGGAGCACCAATTGCCTGCATCTTGTCAGTGCCTAACTGCTCAGCAGCCTGCCAGATGCTGGTAGCAGCAGCCTGCAAGCACACAGCAGAGGCTGAGCTCACTCCGACTGGATTTGTCCTGAGGCGACCCCTCTGTTACAGAGGTGTAACCCACATGTCTAAGAAGACCCTGAAATGTTTTCAGACCACATTAGAAATCACAAGATTGCCAGAACTGCTCAGGAAACATTTTCGTCATTGTGCAGAACATGGTTGGACTCTGCATCAGCAACCAGAGAGGTACAAAAAGCAAGCAAGGCAAATTCTAGGCTATAAAGTCAGAATTCAATCATCTCTTTATTGAAGGATGGGAAAAACAGATTGAAGATACCCGAGGGGCAGAGCCTTGCCCACTGCAGGGGAAAGCCCCTACTTGCCACTCTCGGGAACCAGCCAGATCTTGACAGGTACCTGCTGGTACAGGAACCCCTGTCAGCACAGCCTGCAGTTACCCAAACAAAGCCTCTCACACAGCTGTCTTCAAGAAGTATGCTAAAGACTGCCACACCTAAAGCACCCAGAGCTGAAAGTGGGGAGGAGATGGGTTCAGAGTCCAGCCTGGTACCTCCCATCCATACCCCAGTTCTCTGCACTCTCTGCTGAGGAAAGCCCAAATTATTGTTCCAGCTTTTCAGATCTCAGCTCCACCCAGCCTGTTCCAGGCAGAGCAAACAGTGTCACAAGGCAGTTTGGGGACATGGCTTTCTTGGGAAGGTAGAAGAGAGCACAGCTGTGCTGTGGGTCTGGCAAAGAAGCCCAGTGCCCTCCACTTTAAGCCCAGCCTTTACAGCAAACACAAGGTTATGAGGGGTGTTTCAGGAACAG